TTCCCTTAGTTATGATAAAAAATAAAGTATATATAAATATTGTAACTTTAATTCTTGTTTGATACCTGTTTTGTTATATGTAATTTTACTATGTTAAAGTTAAAATCTTCCTTTTTGTTTAAATAGGAAACAGAAAAGGGGAAATGATGTATGAGGTCCCTCTGTCTATGTGTTTCTTTTATTGGTTAGTGAATAATGAAACTGGTTTGGCTTATAGCATGGAAGGAGGAAGGCAGAGTTAGAGAGAAGCCATGCGTCTGCTGCCTGAGACAGACACTGGGAAATTTAGCTGGTAAGTCACAGCCATGTGGCGATATTCAGAATAATAGAGATGGGTTAGTTTAGGATATGAGTTTAGCCAGAATTATTCTTAAGCTATTGGCCAAATAATATTGCAAATAATATGATTTTATGAGTGGTTATTTTGTGGCTGTGCAGCCGGGACAAACAAGGGATCCTTCCCCTAACACCACCCAGTTCCAAAATTCTATGATTGAAATAGGTGCACTTAGAAGTTGTCAGAATTCCCACATTGGTTCCCTGACCTGGAGAGTGAAGGCTATTATGGTTAAAAATGCCAGGAAGAAGCCATTGGAAAATAGTGAGCCAAAACTATTATTGCATCACTGGAGGAATAGGAGGTAGTTTCCACCACATCTCTCTTTAGCTCTCTGATCTGGACTGTGCAGTAAGTAGATGGATCACACAGAATGACAATTTTCTGTTGAAACCTCAATCAAGTGTTGCAGCTACTATACCAGATGTGTGTCATACTTGAGCAAATTAACACATCTGGTACATGGTATGCAACTATTGATATAGCAAATGCATTCTTCTCAGTACCTATACATAAAGACTACCAGAATTAATTTAATTTTAGTTGGCAAGGCCAGCAGTATACTTTTAGAGTTGTGGCTCAAGGGTGTATTAACTCTCCAGCCCTGTGTCATAACCTAGTTTTCAGGTATCTTGATTTTCCATCTCTTTGACATATCATACTCATCCTCTACATTGAGGACATTATAGCGATTGAACCAAGTGAGTAGGAGATAGCAAACACTTTGGCTTTGGTGATGCATATGTGCATCAGAGGATGCGAAATAAATCCATCCAAAATTCAAAGGCCTTTGACCTCATTAAAATTTCTAAAAGTACAGTAGTCGGAGTCATATAAGGATAGTCTTTCTAAGGTAAAGGGCAATTTATTGCACTTGGCCTTTCCCACCACCAAGAAAGAAGCACGATATTTATTGTTCCTATTTGCATTCTGGAAGCAGAACATTCCTTATTTGGATGTATTAATTCAACCTGTAAACCAAGTGACTCAGAAAGTATCTAGTTTTGTGTGGGGCCTAGAATAGGAAAAGGCTCTTCAACAGTTCAAGGCTGCTTTACTACTTGGAACATATGATCCAACAGTGATCTAACTCAGTGGTACTTAGGATGTCAGTGGCAGATTGGGATGCTATTTGGAGCCTTAGAAAGGTCACAGAAGACCCTTGGGATTTTGGAGCAATAACCTAACTACTCATCATCTGCAGACAACTGTTCTTCCTCTGAGAGACAGCTCTTGTCCTGCTATTGGGCCTTAATGGAAAATGAACATTTTACAATGGCCTACCAAGTTACCATGTAGCTCGAACTTTCCATCATGATGTGGGTATTCTATGATTCATCAGCCAAAACCTAGGACATGAACAGCAGCAGTCCATTACCCAATGGAGGTGGCACCTATTGCTTCATGGGCTGTATCTCAATTGGTTGACCAACAAAGAGATGACTAGTGCCTGGGCTCCTCTTAATCAGGCACCAACCCAGAAATGACAGCTGCAGCATTACAGACTCTTCCTGGAGCAACCCTGAAAGACACTGGTAAAGAGAAATCTTCACTGGTAAATAGAAAGACAGTGGACAGATGTTTGGACAGTATACATCATTGTTTGTTTGTTTGTTTGGAAGGAGAAATATCTAGATGTACAGTTCATTGATTGATGGACTGTTGTCAGTGAATTGGCTGGATTGTCAGGGAGAAATTAGATCACTTCTCCACATTGGAGGTAAGCATATTGTTTCTGGAGTAAAAAGATCCTTTTGGGTATCTCTTGTTGCTACCATGCCATGGGGTTATAAAATGGATGGGAAACATACAACAAATAACCCCATCAGGCCAGGATACAAATGGCTTTTGGAATGAAGGTATGGGTCACTCCTCTAAGAAAGGCTCCAAGACCTACTAAGGTGCTTGCTGAGGATAGGAGTAATACAAAATTGGTAGTAGAAGATGGTAGTTCTAATTATCAGCTAAGGCCATGTAACCAGTGGCATAGATGAGTATTAAAATTGACATGAGTGTTTCTGTCATATGAATGTGGTATGCATATGAAGCAGATAATTATGTTTTCTTCCTCTATGTTTTTATCTTATAATGGAATATCAGTTGAGACATCAGTGATTATTTTTAAATTATAAGATACTGAAGAATGTCTCTCAAGGGAATTTGACACCTAGTCCAAAATTCATAATGTGTTTGCAGTTGTACATGGGAGAGTTATGTCATGTTAGGTATAATTATGAACTGATTATTGCTTTCTTTGGAAATTAAAGATGATATAGGGAATATGAGTGGGTGTCATATTGACAAAGGGTGGATTTGTGATGGCTAATTCTGCATTTCAAGTTGAATACATCTGGATTTAACTTCAACCCAAGCAGCTGGCCACATGTGAGGGATTTTTCTTCATTGTGTTGTTTGAAGTGGGAATACTCAACCTTTAAGTGTGGGTCATTTGAGATTTGAAGACCTATCCTAAATCAGAGCCGCACCTTTTGGTGGCAGCTTGTCTAAAGGACATGGAAGGAGGTAGCTCTTTGCTTTTGTGTGCTTTCGTTACTCTTCTTGGCAAGTTCATCTGTCCTGCTGTTGAGACATTCCGTGCTGATATAAGAGCCTACTTCTTTTGGATTTAAAATTATACTGAAGACCAGCTAAAAGACCAGTCTTGTGACCTGAACAACTGTTGGATACTTGGAATTTCATCAGGAGACAGTCTGATTTTTAATATATTAAATTGCTTTCCATGAAAACTCCATCAATATTCAAGCTTTTGTTTTCAGTCACAAAACTATTTAATGGAACTCAGGAATATTCTATTATTTTCACCCTAATATTTTCCATTTCTGTTGTTTTTTCTTCATTGCTTATGCTTATCTCTTTTTATCTAAAGATTTTCTTTCTTGCTCCCTTTTAGTTGCGTTTATTGACTTATATTCATCTCTTCAAATAAGGATTGTTTTTCATTTCAACTTCATTAACGGGGGTCATGTTTCGACAGCCGCATTGGTGAGATTTTGGGGGTATAGCATCTGGCATTACCAGGAGATACAAACTCGCAGCGTTCCTCTGGCTCTTGCGGTCTTTCTGTCCCTCTTCTCACGGTGTTCTCTGAACCTTAGGTGAAGGAGTTGTTTTGTAGTTATATCAGTTAAAACTGGGACCCACAACTTTTCAATTTGAATGGTTGTAGTTTTCTGTATCGGTCTCTGTCTCTTACAGAGAAGGGTTTTGTTTGTTTGTTTGTTTGATTAGAGGTGAGGACTACTCTGATTTGTGGGAGTAAGGACAAGTCTTTGAAATATAGTTAGGGGTTATGCTAGTTTAGTAACAAGGTAGTTGTTTATCCTCAGGATGCTTCTTTACCACCACTTTTAATTTAAGTAAGCCAGTAACTGTCTTGATCAGCTCTATTAATTTATAACAACTATGGCTAGAGCCTGCTATTTTATGAAGGGTATTTTATATATTTTCTAACTTTACATTATGGTTTGATTAAAAAAAAATTAGGACAGCTCTCCAGGTATTTAAGGCATATTGCTTAACATTTTGTAATATTTTAAGGTATTTTCAAGGTATTAAAAATTATACTTAAGAAAAGTCAGTTTCAGATAATATCAGAGTTCTCAACATGATAAGAGATGCCATTCAAAATGTAGTCTGCTCCAAAGGTGCTTCCTGTTCTGTGTGAATACACAGTGTGAACTCATGATTGCACTCATTGAACTGCTGTCCTGTTGGGCATCTGCATACATGGAGAGTTGCTTTAGTTTGTAACTTGCTGTTTTATTTCTGATTCCAGATGACGATTCTTTTTTTTCTGTAATTGATTTTTATGGAGCTCTACCTTTTCCTCTGCTCCCCTCTCTGCCTCTCCCCTCCCCTTCAACTCTCCCTCAAGGTCCCCATGCTCCCAATTTACTCAGGAGATCTTGTCTTTTTCTACTTCCCATGTATATTAGATCTATGCATGTCCATTTCTGTTTGTTTTGGTGGACATTTGGGTGATTTTTAAGTTTTGTTGCTACAGAGGATAACACAGTCAGTACTTTTGTGTGTTTTCTTTTGCACTTGTGTGTATGAATGTCTTTTTATAATGTAGCAGAGATTATCTAGATCACAGTAGGGACATGCTTGATTTTAATAATGTTGATAACTTGTTGCTCATATGCTATTGATATACATGTATAATTGGAGTATTTATGAGTCTCATTTTTAAAACAAACTCATTTTTTAAAGGTATGCTGTTTAATTTTTCTCCTTTTGTACGTGGCAGATATCTTCATGTTACAATAGTTATTAAAAATGCTTCCTCAAGTAATTAATTGGTAGTAGTTGAATTAGATGAATAATCTTTAGAATAGTAGTTTTCTTGCTTTTATTTACTCATTTCTTCTTTATTTCCTTGGGTTGAAGAGATAGCTCAGCGGTTAAGAGCACTGCCTACTATTCCCAGCAACCGCATGGTGGCTCACAGCCATCTGTAGTGAGATCATTTGGTGTCCTCTTGAAGAAGAGACCTGGTCAGTTGTTCTCATCAACTTAGACAGTGAAGTCCAGTATGGACAAGTTCAACCGTTCCACCATGAATGCATGCTTCTACATTGCCAGGGCATACATTTTATTTCCTTCATTTCTTAACTGATTTTGAGTTCTGTTGTTTTTGCAGCTTTGGTGGAAGAAGTGTATTTTGCACAGCGAGAACGTGATGAAGCTATGATGTGCAGATTGCAGCTAGCCCTTGAGGAGCGAGATGAAGCAGTTGCACGTATGAAGCATATGGAAATGTCACTGAAAATGTGCGTACACATTTAAAATTGTGTGTGATATAAACATAAATGTATGGATTTGTGTTATGGTTACATAGTCACATGTCTTACTGATTGTTGTTATTACATTAAGACAATTCATATCCCTATGATAGTTCTCTAAAATTAGGCAAGCTTGCAGTTTGCCTGATAAGGGTGATAATTAAATTCTTAGAAAGTAATTGAAAATTCATGCTCTCAGTATAGTTAGTTCTTCAGAATCCTGTTGTCACTCTTCTTTCCCAACTTTCCCATGTGATTCTTCTCATTACCTCCATTAATATCAGTTTTTTTATTTGTTTGGTTTTTTAATATATCTTGTTTTTTGACTGTGTATGCACTAATGTTAGGGATGGGAGCTCATGTCTCTGTCCCCCTCTCAGCACTGGAGCCCCATCTGACTCGAACCTGTACATGGCAGGCTTTGTACATGCTGCTACAGTCTGTGTGAGTTCATATGTGTGTCTGTCCTGCCATGTCTGGACATCATTAGCAACATTTAAATGTTATTGATTCAGTACAATTGGCTCTAAGAGGCTGCATTTTTGGTAACACAGTTGATTCTATTTGGTAAAGAAGACCATATCTAGAAATTCTAGAAGTACTATTCAGTTTTTATATATAATCTAATTTATTTCTATTTTATGAATACTTATTAGTTTATTTATTTGTGTTGCAGTGAGAAGGTTAGTAGAAAGTGTGGAGTAGGTCTGGATTTGTGCATGCAACCACACTTGTGTGGTGGTCAGAGACAACTGTCAGGAATTGCTTCTCCCTTTCCACTACATAGGTCCTCGGGATCAGACATTTATGGCTGTAATATTCTTTGGATCTTAAATGTCTCCTCCCAAAGACTCATATATTAAAGGATTGGTTTCCATCCTGTGGCAGCACTGGGAGGTGATGAAGCCTTCCAGAGCCGTGCATTATTAGAAGTTTGAGCCACCAACGGGAATATTGAGGCCCCAGTTTCTTCCTGTTTCTGTCTTTGATTCTTTGTCATCACTAGATCTGCGATTTCCATCTCAGCATGTTCACTGTTGCCATGGACTGCCTCCCTGGAGCTCAAAAGCAGGAGAGCCATATGGCCTTGGTCTGAAATTATGGCTAAGACAAACCTGAGCCTCTTTTAGATTGATTGTCTCAAGTATTTAGTCACAGTGTCAGAAAGCTGAATAACAGCCTGAATTATACTCTTTATTCTTTTAGCTGCTAGTAGATACTTCAATTACTGTGTATTTTGGCTATTGTGAGTAATTCTACAGTAAACAAAGGAATGTAGTTATCTTTAATATATTGATTCCGTTTTTTGTGTATATACTCAGAACTAGATAGGTGTGGCATATAGTATGATTCCTTTAGCTTCTTCACTATTTTCCTCTATAATTGATATATGTTCCTACCAGTATTGTATGAGCCCACAGTTTTCTGCATTATCACTTGCAATTGTTTTTCATTTTTGATTGGGACGAGATATCTCATCGAGGCTTTCATTTGTATTCTCCATTGGCTAGTAATGTTTAGTTGTTTTTTGTTACCATTTTAACTAATAACCAATTGTGTTTTTCAACTCCTTTGATTTTTGCTCCTGATACTTAGAATAAACCTAGTTAAAAGTAGACACCAATGACTATGTTATAACCTAGGTGTTATACTATCTTTATATTGTCTTCATCTAATAATTAATCCGATATTTTCAGTCATCTTTGCTTAGATTTTCAAGACCTGCTCAGACATAATTCTTTGCGCAATGGTAACACAAATGGCATAGAATCTAGTTACCAGCAGAATCCTGTTCTAGCCTGAAAGCTCACAAGCTAGGCTTTTACTGCATGCATTTTTCTCAGTGATGCAGTTTTTATATTTCTACCAGAATCACCCATTAAGTAATACTTATAATTCTTGAGTCACTATAGTTTATATCTTCAAACTCTTGCATATTCTTCCCACAAATTAGTTCCAGAAGCATAAGAACCTCATGTTAAGTTCATCACAGTGACAAACCTACTGCTCTGTACCAAATTTCCACTGACATTTTTATTTCTTTGGCTACAATACCCAATGGAATTATCTTAAGAGAAAAAAGAGCTTATTTTGGCCCACAGTTCAGTAGGCTTCAGGACTTGATGATAAAGGGGAGGCATGGTGGAGTGGTTCAGTCCATGGAAGTAGGAGCATTTGGCAGTGTCAGTCTCTTTGCTGCAGACCAGGCCTCAGAAAGTATAAGGAGTGGGGTCTTGCATACAGCCTTTCAAGTTTTGTTCCTAATGCTCTACTTGAGCCTATATACCCACCCCTACTTCAGGTTCCACAGCTACTACAAACCATATGGGAACAAACACTCAAAATATGAGCCTTTGGGAAACATTTCGAATCATGGCAATATGTGGTCCATTTTTAGTTTTTCAGAAGTTATAAGAAATATGATTTCTTTTTATTATTAATTTATATATTGTTTTGTTGCTGTCCTATATATTGGCACTCACTTATTTCATTAACATTGAATGCAAAGCCTATTCTTATACTAGGGTTGTCTTTGTACTTCTATCAAACATAATTTTGTCATATTCATGTGGGTTATTTTGTAGACTAAATTGTGTCATATATATATATATATGTGTGTGTGTGTGTGTGTGTCTACTTCTTTGCCAGTGTTTTTTTAGGTTATTATTATTATTATTATTAAAATTTTTCACCTCTTCCCATTTCCCTCCCACTCCCTCCATTCCTCCTCTCCCTCCCTCTCCAGTCCAAAGAGCAGTCAGGGTTTCCTATCCTGTGGGAAGTCCAAGTTCACCCCCCCCCATCCAGTTCTAGGAAGGTGAGCATCCAAACAGACTAGATTCTCCCAAAGCCAGTACATGCAGTAGAATCAAAACCCAGTGCCGTTGTCCTTGGATTCTCAGTCAACCCTCCTTGTCAGCCACATTCAGAGAGTTCGGTTTGATCACATGTTCCATCAGTCCCAGTCCAGCTGGCCTTGGTGAGCTCCCATTAGATCAGCCCCACCATCACAGTGGGTGGGCACACCCCTCTTGGTCCTGACTTCCTTGCTCATGTTCTCTCTCCTCATAAGGACCTTGGGAGCTCAGTCCAGTGCTCCAATGTGGGTCTCTGTCTCTATCTCCATCCATCGCCAGATGAGGGTTCTGTTTGCCAGTGTAATATATATAGTCTTAATTTCAGAATCTTTTTGTGCTTTAAAACCACATATTGCTCCAACTTTTCTCCTTATTATAGAATCATGCAGTTATTCTAGTACCTTTACCTCTCTAGATATATTTTAAAATTGTTTTCTTTATATCTACAGAATGTTTTACTGGACTCAAATGTTTTTATTTGTATTTTTTTGGATTGCAAACTCTTTATCATTTGAGATCATTGTTCTGCTTTCTACTACTGAACTAACTTTCAGGAAAGAAAATGGTAATATTGATAGATCAGCGGATAACTCAAGAAATGTGACATTTCATGCATGGGTTTTTCACTTAGATTGCAAACTTGTCAGTCAGAATTTGCATGGTAAAGGAAATCAATTGAAACCTGAGCCCATGAACATTTACCTCAGCAAAATTCTTAACTAATTATCATGACTATGTTAAGTTAGACTGTAGTAAACATTATTATGAGTTTATAAATGCTTAAGATTCTCTTGTCTACTTGCAAGCCCTATATTAGTGAGATATAGTTTATTGATTACTGGCTATATTTTATATAATATCTTTACTTTAAATCTTTTATTAAACCAGGCATTTTTGGTGTTTTATACATGCTTCTAGTAAACTTTACCAATCTAAGATCATTTTATATAAAACTGAAGGTGTTATTTATTTTATGTAGTTGTTTTATATTATTTCTCTTGAAAAGATAGAATGTCTAATTTTGGCATTACAGTAAATGGTACAGTGCATGGTTTACCTGTTGAAAGCCTCAATATAGTTTTCTGAAATAATTTTGTTCATTTCTTACTTCAAGAGAATTGATCAAGCAAGATAATTGATTACCCAGTCCAGAAAATTATATTAAATATACTGACTTCCATCTTCTAATGTATTAACATTAAAAATCTGGTTTCACTTTTCAATATTCTATTTCAGGGAGAAATAATGATTATGTTATACAGCCAACCTGTCACCAATTCTGTAAATAAACTTTTATTGAAACCTAGCCATGCCCATCCTCTTGCCCGTTGTCTATAAATGTTTTAGCACTACAAAGGCAAGGTTGGAGAGGTAAGACAGAGAGAAGAAGCTGATCCAAATATATTTAGTGCCTTCCTCTTAAAAAAATTATTGATTCCTGTTCTATTTAATTTTATTGGGATGATTGTTATGACATTAACATTTGATGTTTGTGATAAACACATCCCCAAGACTTGGTAAGCAAAGGAGAAATAAGGGCTGCAGTCTTTTCTCTTTATTGGGAGTTTATATTATGCATGCATATATACAAATTTTTAAATCTCAAGTTTTTCTCAGTTAATTATAAGTAATAACAATAGTATAATAGTAGGAAAATACTAAGCAGGATTGAGAATAAAAAGAAAAGGGACTGGCTTTGCTGACTTCTTTTCTGCATATTAGATCTAGCACATAAGGCTCACTAAAAACAGTTTAGGTTTATTTACTAGCAAGTTAAAAGTCATTACATATTAATTTAGAACTGATCACACAGATACTTTAAAGTTTGAGAGATAAGTTCACATGCCTGATAATTATTAAGCCTTTTATAAGAAATCAATTTTAACTTAAAAACTGTTTATTACTTGCTGTGGATTTTAATACTAGACTAAATTCAGTTATCTCAACTGTTTCTAAATTATAAAGAGTTGTTCATTTAAAATATTTGAACTCTTTATCTTTAAGTATTACAGGGAAATCCCACAAAGATTGTGTTCTGTTGATTATCCCAGCTATACAAATTAGATAACATTCCTGGATTATTATTTTTATTTGGTAGAAACTAAAACTGTAAGCTTATTACCATAACTATCAAAATCTTTTAAGATTACCAGAAGTCTACCAATCTCGATGTTTGGCTATCATCTATCCTCTCACATTTTAATTTATGTTTAATAATTATTAAAATTTTAAGTATTCATGCTGATTTTTCTGAAAACTATAGCGATCAGATTTTAGTTTGATTTCATCTGAAAAAGTTTAATACCAAGATATTTTAAAATACATGACTCCATTTAAAATTTATTTAGCTAACCGCAGTAAAGATAAATGCTCCCAACATTCAGGTACTCTTGCTGTGCGGGAATCCTGATTTTCTGCTGTGCTTTGAAGTGAGTGCAAAACAATTGGCTACTTTGAAATTTTTGTCGAATAAACTTTTATAATTCATATATCTGAACATGTAATTTATTTTAGAGAAACTCTATAAAAGACAAGAATATTTGCTCTTCTAGAGATGTGAATTAAAGCAACCACTAGATCCTTGTGAGCCGCTGTTGTATATAATTAGAGTGTCTAGATCTTACTGCTGTGTCATCGTATGCCAGTGTGGACAGACAGTGTTTGCTGCTTATGTTTTTTTTTACTATTAAATTGCTGTGTTTAAAAACAGCTCAAAAAAAAACCCAGCTACTTTTTCCATGATTATAGTGTTATTTACCCAGTTGTGACATTTGGAACAATTCTGTAGCATATTTATCAATTGTCTCTAATAATTTTTAGTAACATCCTTTTTTGTGGTAAATATTAAATCACCAAAGTGCAAATATGGAGAGGGCCTCAGAAGACAGGAAATTGATCGGTAAACAATTTAAAAATAATAATTTAGTACAATTTAAAAATAATCCCAGTTATTTTTAAATCTGTCATTTACTAATATCCATAACAGAACCATTGCCTAAATTCTGTTTTCCAAAATATATCGCTTAGACTGTCTTTTCTATTAGTGCATTTATTCAGTTCATCCATATTAACAAGCATTTCAGTAAATGTGATAATTCTTATCAGAAAATGCATTGATGAAGAAGAAAATTGTCTTTCTCTTTCAATTGAATGACTCCATAAAATAGGAAAACAGAAAAAAAAAACCCACTCATCTAAAGTTTGGTTCAATTTTGGTCTGCTTGTATATTCGGTGTGTTTGTATACTAGGTGCAGCAATAGATTTTCAGGTTTAATTTAGTGCAATTATTTGTCATTGCTTTTGTGGGACCTTAGTTAAACTTTGTAATAAAAATGCTTGCTTTGTTTTTCACTTGTGCCAGCTTCCAAAAAAAGAAAGGAAATAGTTTCTGATCAGAATTGAAAGAACAGGAATAAATATCATGATGAGAAAGAGTGCTTCTGCCACTGGGGAACTTTCTTCATCTAAACACATATGAACAATTGATCCTTGTAGTCATATATAGCAGTAAACATTAATAACTTAACAGTCTGAAGTCAGAGCAGAAGATAGAGAGCATTATTGGAAGACGGAGTCGAGCAGGTGCCACTTTAATATGTTCAGTGTCATGGTTGACTCTAAAGACTAGTCGAATGAAATTACTCGAGGTTCTAAAGATTTAAAAAGCGAACTCATTTTGCTGCACTAAGGAAATGCTACTGATCAGGCTTTCTGTGTCCCTTTTTTCTAGGCTAGAAAATATTAACCCTGAAGAAAATGACATGGTAAGCCATTCTCTGAGGAGATTTCTTGATGTCAGTCTTATATCTTAGAGGCTTAAGTTCAATTGAGTGGGTTTCAAGAACTAAGATGTGGGAAAAAGAAGAATTGACACACTAATAATGTACATCTTTGCTGCAATATGAAAATTCAATAACTTCACTCAGTCAATTTACAATTCACATGTGCCTATTAATTAAAACCCTATATTAAATAAAATATATTAAAACCTCATGTCTGACTAACATATAATGGTGTTGGTAGACATTACAGGAATTACTGAGCAGAATAAACAATGCAGACACTGGGATAGCTATTGAGAAGAATGGAGCTCTAATTGTGGATAGAATCTACAAGACCAAGGAGTGTAAAAGGAGAATAACTGCAGAAGAGATGAAGGCCGTGATAGAGGAGCGCGATGCAGCTTTGTCTCAGGTAACTGCTTGTGCCTATAACGTGTACACGTGCTATCTCGCCTCTTTTAACATCCAGAAACAGTGAATTTTGCTCAGATTTTCTTTATTTCCCTTTTAGAATGTTTTGTTATATAAAAAAATGTTTCCTTGTGACGTAACACACACACACACTACTTTGTTGTATTTGGTATCTAATTCACACTAGTGTGGAGTATATAATCAATCAAATATTAAAATATTTAAATTTCTGTACTGCTTTTATGAATATGCATCCTACAATTTAGTAAATAATTTCTTAGTAAAATAATGTTCTATATAATGTTAATGTGCAATAAAATATACTTGCATTCATTAATCACTTCTATATTACATTTCTTACTGCATTGCAGTTTTGTAAGTGTTCAGACTGTTTTTGTTTGTTTTCTGAGTTGCTTTTGTTGTCGTTTTCAGTTTTTATTCCCAGAATCTGTGTTGATACATTTTGGATCAAAAAAATAGACATTAATTCAACTCTGATTTCTCCTCTGAGTTTACTGGGTCTATCACAGTCCTCTTACTGGGTTTCAAGTTCTCCTCCTCAACAGTGAGACCACTGGGCCTGCAGGCTAATTCCTTCTTAGCATACTTTGGTTTTGTCCTCCTGTCCTTCCCAAGCACAACTTTGAAGTCATCCACAAGACAACACTGCTCATATATGCTGTGGCTGCAGTTAACATATATGTGGTGTTACATCCCTTGCTTTGTGACATTTTCAGAATCAATTTCATTGTTTCTTTCTTCCTTCCTCTCCTGCCGGTATACCAGCTCGTATTTTCTCTGCCTACTGTGTGCTGTGTACTTTTTATGCCATTTACCTTGTGGTCATATCCTCTTCTTCATTGTTAACTATTCTCTAATTCAAGCATCTCCATTTATGGCCTCCAACTTTCTTAGCTCATTTACTCTGAAATTTTGATTCCATCAAGTTTTCAGCTTCACTAGTACCTGTTTCAATGGACCTTGCCTACTCTTTTTTTAAAATTTATTTATTTATTAAAACTTTCCATCTCTTCCCCTCTTCCCATTTTCCTCTCACTCCCCCCACTCCCTCTCCCTCTCCCCCTCCCTCTCCAGTCCTAAGAGCAGTCAGAGTACCTTGCCCAGTGGGAAGTCCAAGACCCTCCCCACTCCATCCAGGTCTAGAAAGGTGAACATCCAAACAGACTAGGCTACCAAAAAGCCAGTACATGCAGTAGAATCATAACCCAGTGCCATTATCATTGGTTTCTCAGTCAGCCCTCATTGTCAGCCACATTCAGAGAGTCCGATTTGATCACATGCTCGTTCAGTCCCAGTCCAGCTGGCCTTGGTGAGCTCCCATTAGATCAGTCAGACCGTCTCCATGGGTGGATGCACCCCTCACGGTCCTGACTTTCTTGCTCATGTTCTCCCTCCTTGTGCTCTTTATCTGGACCTTAGGAGCTCAGTTCGGTGCTCCAGTGTGGGTCTTTGTCTCTATCTCCATCCATCGCCAGATGTAGGTTCTATGGTGATATGCAATATATTCATCAGTGTGGCTATGGGACAAGGCTAGTTTAAGCACCCTCTCCTCTGCTACCCAAGGACCTAGCTGGGGACATCCCCTTGGACACCTGGGAACTCCTCTAGAGCCAAGTCTCTTGCCAAGTCTAAAATAGCTTCCTTAATTAAGATATCTTCTTCCCTGCTCCCATATCCACCCTTCCTTCATCTCAACCATCCCATTCCCTCAAGCTCTCCCCAATCCCTCCCTTTTCCCTTCTCTCTCCCCATCTTCCCTTCCCCCTATTCTACCCCCATCCACGTGCTCCCAACTTTTGCCCGGCGATCTTGTCTACTTCCAATATCCAGGAGGATAAATATATGTTTTTCTTTGGATTCACCTTCTTATTTAGCTTCTCTAGGATCACGAATTATAGGCTCAATGTTCTTTGCTTATGGCTAGAATCCACTTATGAGTGAGTAGATACCAAATTCATCTTTTCGGTTCTGGGTTATCTCACTCAGTAAAGTGTTTTATATTTCCATCCATTTGCATGCAAAATTCAAGATGCCATTGTTTTTTACCACTGAGTAGAACTCTAAGGCATATATTGCTACACATTCTTTATCCATTCTTCTATTGAGGGGCACCTAGGTTGTTAAACTCTAATTAACCCAATTTAAAAATGGGGTACTGAACTGAACAGCGAATTCTCAATAAACGTTCAAATGGCCAAAAGATACTTAAGGTCATGCTCAACCTCCTTAGGGATCAGGGAAATGCAAATCAAAACAACCTTGAGATACCATCTTACACCTGTCAGAATGGCTAAAATCAAAAACACCAATGATAGCCTATGCTGGAGAGGATGAGGGGATCATTCATCCATTGTTGGTCGGAATGCAAACTTGTGCAATCACTTTGGAAATCAGTGTGGCGGTTTCTCAGGAAACTGGGAGTCAACCTACCTCAGGATCCACCAATTCCACTCTTGGGAATATACCCAAGAGATGCCCAATCATACTACAAAAGCATTTTTTCAACTATGTTCATAGCAACACTATTTATAATAGCCAGAATCTGCCTACCCTTTTTAAGTCTCAGATTCACCATATCTGCTTCTTACCTTACCTATCTTAGCTTCCTTGGCTCATCATAATTATCACCAACTTTCATATAACTTCAGTTCTCTTCTCTTTTATCAACTAATTTTGTTATTTAACCGTTTCACACATGTGTATAATGTATTTTGTTTACTGTCACCCTCACCTATTCCTATCTCCCTCCAATTCTTGTTTACTCCATCTGCTACCAAATACTTTCCTAAATTCATGTTGTGTGTGTGCCTGTCTGTGAAAGAGACAGACAGACAGAGACCAGGAGGGAGGGAAGAGGGGCATCTAGGTTGTTTCCAGGTTCTGGCTATTACCAAAATAATAAGGCATTCAGATTGTTAAATAGAAAAATTTTCACAGAATCAAATACTTTAGAATTTTGTAGGGCCCTGGAGAAAAACTAAACTTAAATTACTAAATTAAGGAGTCTAATTTTCAGTTGAGTCCTTTATCCTTTTTCTATCTATGCCTAGCCATTGGTACTAGTATAAGTTTCAAGATTTCACAAATAAATTATTCATATATTTTCAAATATCCATTATAATGATGATGTCCTTAGTAGTGTGCTAAGAGACACAGTTGGGTCCATGCTAGCCTATCAATAAGCAAAAACAAACAAGATCATAGGATCTGATGGGGACTTTTAGCTGTAATAGCAGGGACTCATTTTTTCCTTGGGGATCTAGAAAAATTAGGTTAGTCTTTGATGATGACTGAACAAGACACTGATCTATGAGTGTAACAGAATGGCATTAGGAGTCATTTTATTGATACTTGGCTTTTTTGGGTTTTTTTTTAACAAAAAATAAAAATAAAAATTGTATTTGGTTTCTCCCTATTGCTAGGTTATCTAGTCTCTGAAATATTTCTAAATAATTTAGTGTCATATTTGTATTGGCTGTAATAATGCCTCTTTTTTTGTAATTCAGTGACCTCATTTTGCCTATGCTAAAACAAATACTACAGATGACATCTCCATTGTGCTTAGAGCCGAGAGATACAGAAGGCAGAAAGAAACCAGGAGGTTATCATCAGGGTAATTAAAGACATTCAGCTAAGCAGTTTATAACTAGATTTCTGTCTCTCTATAAGCCACAAGCCCATACGAAACACCAATCTTCAGCTCTAGCAAATCCAACACACAAATGAAATTAAAACTCCAGGGAGACATTTGATCAACAGGAAAGCACACTGACTTGCTGTTTTATAAATCTGTTTTGACTTGAAGCATAGTTATCCCTGTCACTGGAGCATTCTTTCTCTGACCAGTCTTCCTTCAACCATCTATTGTAAGACCCAATTTAAATATTTCCTCCATGGATACTTCTCCCATGAAGCAATATTGATGACCGTCTTTCCTTCTCGCACTTTACTTTGTATGCTGTTACAGCACTTGCCATAGTGTTTTATTAGTTTTTCTTTATGGCTTGCATATTTTCTACCATTGAGATTGAAACTGTTTTGTGTATTCTGTTTTTTGTAGCATGAGGGCCGGCTTGTTGGGGTTTCCGTCCCGCCCGGTACCCCAACAGCCGGCAAATCCCAAAGAGAAATTACACACAGGACTCCATAAGGTTATAAACTGATTGGCCCATTAGGTCAGGCTTCTTGTTAACTCTTATAACTTATATTAACCCATTATTCTCATCTATGTTAGCCATAATGGCTCCGTACCTTTCTCAGCTGGGCAAGTTACATGCTGCCTCTTCAGTGGTCTGTGCAGGAATGGCTGAGGAACTTCTCTCCTCCCTAGCCTAATCCTATTCTCATTACTCCGCCTCTACTTCCTGTCTGGTTGACCCGCCTATACTTCCTGCCTGGCCAGTTTTTGATAGTCCTATGATATTATAGATACTAAATATATATTTACTGAATTGTTAAACATATTAGCTTTATTTGACTGATGAATTAATGTACAGTTTTTGATCTGTTTCAAAGTATAATAAATAAAAATGGTGACATATTTTCCATCTGTTCATGTTCTACTAAGTGACGATTATATGCCTTGTGTTGGATTTCGGTAATAATCCCATGCTAATAATCATTAAAAGGTAAATGTTTCTGTCTTTTGTAAAACTTATAATTTTGTAACAAGATATAGGAAATGAGTAAACAAATAAAAATATTTTCAGGTAGTGGTGTAATTAAAACAAAGTAATGGAGAAGGCTGTGGTTTATACCAGGCTTTCTTTTGGGCCACTACCCAGCTCCCAAATCATGGTAGAGACTTTTTTAACTTTGAATGCTTATCCTAGCTTAGGATTATTTCTGGCTAGCTCCTTTAACTTAAATTAATCCATTTCTCTTTGCCCTTTGCCTCAGGGCTTTTTTTCTTTCTTCCTCCTGTATATCTTACTTTCTCTACTTGTGTCCGGCTGACTGGCAGCTGCCTGGCTGGCCCTG